GAGGACATGCACTACATGGAAGTTTCAAACAAATGTGGTTTACCATATTTCTGTGGTGATTTGCCAAGGCTGCTTGCCAGCAGCAAACTCTTCTCATTTCCTGCTCCTTTGGTTCCACAGCCATTACAGATTGGGATTGGAACAGGTGCAGTCTGTGCACTTGGAGGAGGAATATTTGGCCAGATTTTAGCAGCATCGACTAAGCTGTTTCTGGTTGGCTGTTAGGACAATTTTTCAAAATACATGTTCATTTAGTATACAATATTAATACATGCCAGTCCATGCTAGAAACACTCAGTTTCCCTTCTGCAACAAATTGAAGTTCAGATGTACTCAACAAAGTTAATTAACAACATTATCACTGCATAAAGGATGCTGCTATCCTAGAGTCTTTCCCAGTACACTTAGCTCTAGATTTCCCAATAAAAGGAAAGGTTCTAATAAACTCAACATATCAAGAGGTGCCACCTTTAAGTGGTATTAATATGTTTTAAAAAAGAACCAAAAAAAACCCCAAAGACCTCGCATGTGAAACCTGCACAATTCAGAGCACAAGGTTGAAACGCCCTCCTCCCCCTCCCAAAAAAGTGATAATTCCATATATACTGAAGTCACCACTTAGTTTATTGAAGTGACATTTCACTCTTCTACTGGAAACTCAAGCTTGGAAGTTAGAGTAACACATCTTGCAAATGAAATAATATATTTCATTTGGAATTCCTAGTAATATTCAAACACAGTTCTAATGAGTTCTGAATTGGACCGAATTGGTACCGAAGTATAAATTACAAATTTGGCAAGGCTGAACTAAGACCTACCAAACTAAACCAAAACTAGAATGTCCTTGTTAGCACAAGATGAATCACCTGACTTACAAATGGCTCCTTACTGATCAACTGCCCAAGGGTACATGTTAACTGTTGTTAGCCTTTAGTCAGAGTCCATACTATGGAACAGCTTAATTGCAGCTGTGAAGAAGAGATAACTGTCTTTCAAATCCAGTAACAATTCCACTTGAGTACTTTACAAATCCCCTGGAAGCTGAGCATTGTAATAGCTCCTTTGTCTTCCCATTGCACTGAATGTTACCTCAGAAAAGAGATCAGCTTCCAAAAGGGTACCTGGTGCACCTGGGCTGCGCATCACCAACTAGGGGGGTGCAGGCTGCACCCATGGAAGCTGGTGTTTTGCTCAAGTAACACAATTTCAGCATTAACCACATTCTGCAGTTAAGAAGTGAGAAGTGTGAGGTGTACAAACCTTGCTCAAGCAGTCACTGCAGTAGTGAGAGCCCTTCAGACAAACGGGAGGGGCCACGTTTAGGTGCAGAGGGTTGGCGCACACACGTGATGTGAGCTCCGACTGTGCAAGGTGCTCGTCCAGGTGGGCTGGAGCCCCACTTGTGAACTCAGGACAAGGGAAATAGCCAGGAGATGTGCAGCTCTGCAGGGCTGGGAACTGATGCAGTTTGTGCACATTACCATGACAGGGCTGGAAATGGAGTTTCCCACAACAGGCCAGATGCTGACAGGAGGATACACTGTTTTCTACGCACATGCCAGAGAATTCACTGGAAATTCCTGCCAGGCCGCTTCTGGCTGGAGGGTTCTTCAGTGAAGATGCAGACTGGTAAGCAAATCCTGACCCCACTTGACAAGTTATCGTCCCAGTGCTTTTTGAGTCTAATACTGTGCCAGGGTGAATCAAGTTACCACCACCACCACCACAATGCATCTGTGGAGGACAGGAAGAGTCAGAGCCATGAGCACAGCAGCTTACTTTGGGGCCAGGGGAGAGCTGTAACTGCTGTTGCTGGAGAGGATGAACATCAGGAAGCGGCACAGCTGGAAAGAGTTTAGAGCCAGCATTGTGAGCAGATGAAGCATCCTTCAATTCCACAGCAGCTTTCTTGTTCTCCATGTAATCCTTCTGGAAAAAGGAAAGCTCGGTTACATTCGGATACATAAACAAAGCAACAATTTCAGAGGATGAGCAGCATATTTTTAGACTGTTACAATTTTGATGATAAATGAAACTTTTTAAGGTGTTATCTTTATGACTAGTATTACCTTACTGATTGAACAAGTAAAAATATTAGAAGAAACATGCCAGTTATGTGTGCCAGCCTTAGGTATACTGGTATCAGCAGAATATTGTTGGAAGCAACAAACCCGAAAAGCTATAAACCAAATAGCAGTGTGTCTATTAAACAGAATCTAAAAAGCAGAAAACTGTTGCCTAAGGCTGAGAGATTCTTTGTAAGAAGAAACACATATGGATACTATGTAAAAAAGCTTCACAACTTGCAGTTACATAAGTTGTATTTAAATAAGGACTTTAAAATTAAAGTTAAAGGAGTAATGCATTAAAAGATTAATACTTCAAAAAATTAGAAACTGTATCAGTGCAACAGAGGGCAAACAAGACTCAAGTTTCACAACTGTTTTTTGCCTACTCTGATTTAAGATATCAAGATGCACAGACAAAAGCATAGACAAAAACAGGTGTGGGGTTTTTTTTTTAATGTCAGCAGTAAGAACTAAGCAAGGTTAGAAGTAGCACAGAACAGTCAAGGTCAGAAGAGATAACCTGCACAGAACACACTGCTCCAGAGCCTTTGAACAACTTTTATTTTCCATTGAATTTAATGCATCTCCTACTACACATTAATGAATAATTGATCACCCAACTTCAAAACCATTCCTCTCCACTTGACGCCACATCTCACAGAGATAAACTCTGCCAAAGATCTGTCTGGAACTGATTTACATATTAAATTCCAGATTTTATAGCAGCTGCCTTCCTAACCCCTGACACATGAAGACAGCAATATGCTTATCCATTTCCCCCATGTCCTTTACTTAAAATCAGACTGAACATGCATGAATGTCACTTAATAGTTGGAGCTCACTTGCTCAAGTACCTAATTGTCTTGTACTATTCCTTCTATTCCTTAACATTTTTCATCTTAAATGTACAGAATCACATACACTACAGAAAAGGAACATTTAAAGAAGTGGAACTAAGGAAAAATTAAGACATCAGTGAAGAATAATATCCACTATTTCTGTAACTACTATATAATAATAATTATTATTCAGAAAACTAAATTTGCCTCCAAGCCAAACAGATAAAGAACTAGAAGTATGAAGATTACCCCTCTACTCAACTCTTCAGCAATAACTCTGGAGAGCTTTCAGGAAGCTGCCTTACACACCTCTTCAGCAGTCAGTTGTATTATCCCAAACAGCTGTGGAGAGTAAAGCCTGTCAAGCAGAGCAACCTGCCTGTTCTCCCCACACTGATGGGAGTGCTACAAACACAACTGAAGGCCTTAAATCCCCAGGCAGATTTTGTATTTATTGTGGGAACTGCTGTCTCCTCTCCCTCCCCTCCCCACTCCGACCTTCGGTCAGTCACCCCCCCCCTTGACACCAGGAGACCAACTGTGCTTTTAGGGAAAATCAGGAATTACCGTTTTTGCACCACAAGGCAAAGCCTTCTCAGCAGCAGAAAAGCAATTAGAAAGTTTCCAGAGCCATGGTTTAGCATCATTCTCTTGTCTCTGAAGCCATCCCAACGATCTATTGCAGACGTTCTCCGTCCTGTTTCCTTCCATCATACAGCCAAACAAAAAGGTTCAACATCCTCTCATCCCCCCTTCCTTTCATTCTTCCCACCTGCTAGAGGGAAAAAAAAAAAAGTATGCTTTGAATACCTTTTAACGTAAGACAGAAAAACCACCATGGTCTTAAGAATTGCTGCATCACTGAACCTGCATTATTTATGTTAAATTCATAATGGACATGGGCACAGCCTTGGCTATTCCTATTTAACACAGGAATGCTCCTCATCACCTGCAGCACAGGAGAGCCAGTCTGAGGGAAACACCACTGAAGTCCATGGCATCCATTGTGTGGATCACACAACTGCACAGCTGCTGACATGAAAGTGCCCTGAAACTTTGAGGGCACCCTCCCAGGAAGAGAAGCCAGAAGGCAGGTTGGCAAGAACAGCTCAACAGTAAATACAAAACAGGTGCAACTGAACTCAGCTGGAAAAGTTAAACTGCATATTCATTGGCTTTCCACTGGCTACCAAAACTATACATACCTGTAGTAAGCACATAGTATTTTGCATTTAAACAGAGCTTCAAATTATTCAAATGATTTACAAATACTTCTACTAATCCTCAGGCTGCCCCACAGCACATGAATTTAGCTTTACAGGAACACAAAGCAACCTAAGGGCCAGTCACACAGCACCAGAAAAACTGTGATAAGCAATAAAGTCTTCTTATCCTCCAACTACGTGCTGCATTCATTAATTACACTCCTTCAGCTTCTCTTGCATTTAAAGACGATAACACCATGGAATACATTCCATAACATCACATCTGCCCCTGCATTGTTTTGAACCTCAAAAGAAGTTTCACTTTTTTTTTTAAAGCAGAAATACTCAGTCGCATGAACCCTACGTATCCAAAAATTATATATACGCATACATGGATGTCCAAAATACCAAGCTCACCAAGTTCTTCAACTCTAAAGCACGGTACTTTCCAAAGCGCCTCACAGCACCGATTGCTTTGGGAATTTAAACGGTAAGCGAAAGGAACAAAAGTGACGTTAACCACGCGTGCCCGCGCTTTTCCCCCCCCACGTCACGCGGCTCCCGGGGCGCTCTCAGCCCGGCACGACCCTCCCCGGCCCCACACCGAGCTCGGGCCGCGGCCGCCGCAGGGGGACGGCACGGGCCGTGCCGCGAGGGGCGCGGGATCTGCCCGTCCCCGCCGCAGCAGCCCCGCACTGCCGGGGCCCATCTCGGTGCCGCCGTGCCCCCCGTCCCAGCTCGCCCCGGCTCACCGGCCCCGCCGCCCCGGCCCCGGCTCGGCCCCGCCGGCCCTTTGTTGTCCTCCCTCCTCCTCCCGCTCCGCTCCTTCTGCCGTCGGGCGCCGCCGCGCGCCGCAAACCCGCGCTGCCGCAAAAGGCGGCTGTCGTAACACCCCGCACCCGCCCCCTTTAACGCGGCGGCTTTAAATGGCCCCGGGGGCGTGAGGGGAAAACTCACGGGAACTTCGTGGGAACTGCCAGCGTTACAAACATGGCATCCGTGCGTATAAATATCTAAAGGGAGGTGTCAGAGGGTGGACCAGGCTCTGCTCGGGGGTGGACAAGAGGGAACGGGCAGGGGCTGATGCTCAGGAAGTTCCACCTGAACATGAGGAGGAACCTCTTCATTCGGAGCACTGGAACAGATTGCCCAGAGAGGGTGTGGAGTCTCCCTCCCTGGAGATATTCCAGAACCGTCTGGACACAATCCTGTGCCGTGTGCTCGGGGATGACCCTGCTGGAGCAGGGAGAGGGGACCGAGAGACCCGCTGTGGTCTCTTCCCACCTTACACAGCAGAGTAACACAGAATCTCAGAATCACAGACTGTGGAAGCTTGGAGGGGAGTGATGGAGGAATGCAGAGTCCCCAGGGAGAGAAAAACACAAATCCTTATTTCCTTGGTAACTAGTTATTCAAATAGATTCAAGCAGAATAACAGAGTATAAGGTTAAATAAAAACTTGGTGGTAGCTGATAGGATGGAATGTAACCTCACATTACATCAAATGATTATAATGCCAAAACACATACCCCTGGAGGAAATTTGTGTATGTAAATGAAAGTATAATGAACTGGACCAAGACTACCACATATGCCATAAGACTTCTGTTATATGTGTCGTGGTTTAAGCCCAGCTGGAAATTAAGCACCACTCTCAACCTCCCTCTCTCCACCCAACCCTGGTGGAATGGGGAGGAGAATCAAAGTAAAACTTGTAGGTTGAGATAAAAACAGTTTAAAAACCAAAACCAAAGCAAAATACAGTAATAATTTTAGATTATAATAATAATGATATTAAAAAGGGAAAGGCAAAAAAAAACCCCAAACAAGTGATGTGCAATACAATTGCTCACCACCTGCTGACCAACGCCAGACCCACCTCCCCAAACCCAGACTGGCCCCCTTCCAGGTAACTCCCCCCAGTTTGTATACTGGGTATGATGCTCTGTGGTGGGAATACCCCTTTGGCCGACTCATGTCACCTGCTGCTTCCCAGGTTTTTTTGTGCACCTCTTTCTTTTGTGCATGGCAGAACATGAGACATAAAAACCCCCAAGGAGTCCTTGACTAATGATAAACACAACTTAGCAAAAACCCAAACATCAGCGGGTTATCAACACCATTCTCATTCTGATTCCAAAACTTCTCTTGTGTTTCCACAGGCACAGCCCTGTTTCAGAATTCTCTTCCTTCAGAAGTCTGGGCCGAAGTCGTGCAGCCAATCCAGGCTGGGCTTGCTCCTTGGCATGAGGGCAGCTGAGCCCCTCAGGGAGAGCGGTGAGTGACAGAGCTTTTTGGTGGCTCAGTATGTTTTAAGTGACATCGTGGTAGCAGACTAAGCTGGCATTTTACCTTCACCTTTCCCTAACAGGTTGCAGGCAGCAGCAAGGTGAAGTCTTGGTGACAATGGTCACAGCTACAGCCAGTCTTGTCCCTGCTGGTGGGGTCACTGGGGGTGTAACTGCTGTGTGCCAAGGTTGTGAGTGGTGCTGTGCTCTGCTCTGCTTAACAAGCCAGTGCCATCAATGAGCATTTGACAGTTTCATCAACAAATTTGTCAGTTCAAGACATCAGAAGGTTTTTAAAGTAGTGAGAATCTGTTTCTTGCTTAAGCATGTGCAAATCCATATACAGACTGCAGAGAGTTATATAACATCTTTAAAGAGACAGAAATAGGTTTCATTGATGTTAAATACTTGCTCTTCAGTGACAGCAATATTTCCGTGTGATATTCTAATACATGTTTGTCACATCTTGTTATGGGTAATCCATTTGAAAAAAAAAAGTTCGGTAGTTTACAGTGACAATTGATGAGAAGTTCCTGTTCCATCAATAGGGTGGGTGGTTCTGTGGTGAGTTATTTAATTCTTGCAGCAAAGCAAGTATTTTTTCCCATAAGAAGGTTATTGCCAAAAGATAAGGTGTTGCAACCTTACCAGAACTTACAGTCTATACATTTTTGTCCACTTAGCTTTCATGGAAGAATCAGTAGGGCCTTTTCATCAAAACAACCAGCACATGAATCCTGGCACCACAAAGATCTGCCAGTTATTAATTATTAATCAGCAAACTAAAAATAAATGCATAAAATAATGTCTTCTCCTCTGCTAATTTTGAAATAGCCAAGTGTTCTCATTCTTCTGGCAAAGAAGGCAGTCAGAGTGGTTACAGTAACCTTTGTTTTAAAAAGATATTTATTGCTCATGTACAGCAGTGCCCCTGGTAGTGCCTGTGAGCCCCTGGCATTTGTTAGGGTGCTGTTACACTGTTTCAGAATTGGATGAGGGGCTCTCAGCGTCTTCTGAAATCTCAGAAGTTTTGCTGTGTTTTACAAGTACTTCAAGATGAGAAATATTAAAAATAGTCAGACATACCTTTGATATCATCTGTGAACTCACACTGTCCTCAAACATTTGCTTGAAGTGTTGAGGTAAAATGTTCTTTGTCCCAAACCTTTGAACAATGTATAATTTTTTTGATTACTGGGCACATACTACAATAGTATGTGGTTTATTTCCTGCAACTTATCCAATAATAAAAACATTCTTGAGTAATGACAGAACTGCAAGTACTATTAACCCAATTTCTTAAATACATAATTTAGTTTTCTCTTCATAGTTCTATAATAGTTTGTCTCCATTTAATTCTGCTGAACATCTGACCTGAAAATATAAGTTTTGCTCACCCTTTTCAGTTAAAGTTATCTTAGCTATGGACAGATTTCTTTTAGTGGAATATAGTGTGCATTCACTTAGTTACTGTGCCAGCCTTGTTCTACAAAGTCTTTGGAAGAGACATATTCCCAGTTTAGACAAATCTTTTCAGAGTCAGACTGTGCTCCAGGCCCGGTATTGCATCACGGCAGTAAATGAAACTGGGATTAGGGCTCCTGCACGTGGCTGTCTCTCATCCAGCAGTTTGGGAAGCTGCTGCCGGGTGTGAGGTGATACTGGGTGACACATGGCCGTGCCTGTGTGGGCTGGAGTAATATACGTGTGATAATTTGTGCTTTGGTTTTGACTCAGGAAACAAATGCCAGGCAGACTAATGAGCAAATGTTTGTGTACACGGTCGGTAGGAACACACCCGGGCACTTGAGAAAGCCTCTGCCTACCTTGGTCCCTCTCCTATCAATCCTGCATGTGAGGGCACGGCAGGGAATCCACGGGCTGCAGCGGACGGGCTGCGGCTCTGTCCCAATGTCTGCGGGAGCTCCGTTCCCCTGCGGATGCCTGCGGCTCATTTTCTGGATTGGTGACATCATGCTGAGATGTAGATGAGTGGAAGTGTCTAATATTTCATATACTGCTTTGTCCTTGCACCATGTGCTTCAGCGACACAGAAACTTGTCCTTGTGGTTGGGAAAAGGGGACTTTGGTCTAAGGATGTTGTGCTGGCATTAAAAATAGTTACAAGTGCTGTCTCACTGCTTGCTTTTCCAGCAGAGGCCTTTGGAATTAAAAATAATAATAATAAAAAAAATTGATGTAAAGCTTTTCCTCCTTTAGGACATTCCAAGGCAAATCATGTCTTTAAAATTATGCCATTGCTGGCATGTTTATACTGGTTTACAGTTAACACCTCAGAAGATGCAGCCCCTGGTACCCACTGTAGATCCTGGAACACTGACAAAGGGGGTTTGGCGTGGCCGGGACCAGGAGCAGGACTGGGAACGGGAACAGTCAGGAACAGGACCAGGATGGGGAACAGGAACAGGATCAGGACCAGGAATGGGAACAGGATCAGGAATAGGACCAGAAGCAGGATCAAGATCAGGATTAGGATCAGGAACAGGACTGGGACCAGGAACAGGAACAGGATCAGGATCTTGAACAGGACTGAGACAGGAATGGAATCAAGATGAGGATCAGGATCGAGGTCAGGATCAGGAATGGGACCAGGAATGGGATCGGGACCAGGACCAGGACCAGGACCAAGATCAGGACCAGAGCCAAGATCAGCACCAGGATTAGGACCAGAACCAAGATCAGGACCAGGACCGAGATCGTGATGGGGACCAGGACCAGGGCCGGGACTGGGATCGCGATCAGGGCCAGGGCCGTGCCCGCCGCCCCCGGCGTCTTTTGAAAGTCACCAAAGTTTCCAAACCTTTCCCAACGGCGTCCCGGCGGCGCTGATTGGCGGAGCGGCGCGCGGCACGTGACCGGCAGCCAATGGGGTGGCGCTGCCCCGCGGGGGCGGAGCTGCCGCGGTGCGGGCGGTGGGAGCTGCGGGAGCGGTGAGAGCGGGGCCCCGGGGTCGGGAATGGGATCGGGAATGGGGGGAGAGGGACCTGGCACTCTGCCCCTCACCGCGCCCTGCCGAGCGCACCTGAGCCTCCTGCAGGGGCTGGTGGGGAGGGGAGGGGAGCGTGGGAGCCGTGCCCGCTGGTTTCGCTCCCTCCCGGCTTCGTGCTCCGCATGGGAATGGGGAGCCCAGAGCGCTGCCTCGCTGACCTCTTCACTTGCAGCTGGAAACGTAAAGGTCAGGCGTTCCAGGACAGAACTGCGGAGTTTGCTTAGACAGTATCGGAGCTGCGCTGGTAACTGAGAAGGGCTGTGCTGAATTCAGCCCTTTGGCAGAGAAGAGCCCGGAGAAGCTGATAACTCCTCTCAGTGCTGGCTGTGGGATTCTGTAGTAATCCGTGACCTCTCCCTTTTCTTTCTCTCTTGTGGTGATTTTCTTTTGTATTGCTTAAACAAAAGAAAATAGGCCCTTGTGTTACAGAAGGACCCTTTCAAGGGGACTATTTTATGCAAATGTAATTTTCATAGGATGGGAAAGCAACTTTTCAGGAGCAAAGAGGGGGTTTGTTTTGGTTTACAGTTTGGAAAATATGTCTAACTAGGAACTTCATCATCTCCGTCGTGGATAATTCAGTAGTATTTGTGGTACTATTTTACTTTTACTTTTTAATTACAGTATGAATTTCTTTGACTCGGACCATCAGGCATTGCTACAAAGATAGGCCAACATTGTTCACCAAGCTAAAATGTTCTTTTGTTAAAAAAAAAGTCCAGTATCAGGGTTGTTTTGAGTCCTTTGTTTTAGGACTGAAACAGAATCTAAGTTGAGGCCATCATGCGTTTGGGTGAACTCAGAGTGTGATTTCCAAATTGGAGTTCCTTCACTAGTTTTGTGTGTGGCTTTTCTTGATGGTTTTTTTTCCCCTTGGGAATTTTGCAGTTCTGCTCTCACTTGTATGAAATTGTTTCCTGCAAACATTTACGCTGTGGTATTTTCGTCCTTGCAAAAGTCTGGTCCCCACCCATGAACTCTTCCACTTCCTGCATGATGTAGTGGGTTTGTAATGCCTGGGACCAGCCCTTGTTCTGCCTGCACTCAGGAAATCTGGCCAGATGTCTCTTCTGGCTTCATGTGTGTGAAAACAAGTAAGGTGCAGCCAGTGTGTGCCTATTACAGACTGTGACTTTCTTTCCTTGCTTTTTTCCACTTTTTCCAGTGTTTAACAAAGCATCTCTAAAACCTCCTTCACCCCCCTTGCCCTCTCCGCTTTTGTAGTGAGCCTAGACAATGAGGAATTCCTAATTACTTTCTCTTCAGGCATTTTGCATGTTATCTCCAACCTGTTAAAAATCCAGGGGAGAAGGCAGCAGGGGAAAAACAGAGTCAGAGCCCTAGCCTTTTTAAAAGAAGTTTACAAAGACTTACGTGGTTCTTGCACTCTGTTTAGATAAATTTCAGAAAAAAATTAAAAAAGGTGTAATACTTTGTCTAAAACTTGGAAATTTCTCTTCAGTTTAAGTTTCTATTTTGCATCTTCATTTAGTTTGAAAATCCTTGTGAGCTAAGATGTAGTGCAGGTGTACAGGGAAACTAATAGGTCCTGTGTGTTCCAGGCAAAAAACATTTGCCTGTGGCTCTGGAATAAGTACCAGTCCACAGTCCTTCCATGTATTTGCAGTTCAACAATTAATTTTAAATTACAAGTACAATTTAGTAATGGTAACCATGAAACAGAGTGTACTCTTAATGGATGACACCGTCAGTGGGTCGATAATCTCCTGTTTACAAAGACATCCCTAGAAACCGGAGGGCACAGCACCTTTGTGCTTCTGTGAACGTTAACAAGGTTCTGTGAAAGTCTTACAGATCCTGTGGCTCAGTTAAGGGAAGTTCTTCTCTATGTGACCAGACAATCTTGAAAAATGTGAATTAGTACTGTTTTTTAGTTCTTCCAAAGTGCAGTATAAAAACACAAGTAAAAGCCAGATATGAGCATATTCAAGATTTTGAGGATGATGGGAGCTGTGTCTTTTGGTTCCAAAAGGTTGTTTGAAAGCTTTTGGGAGCAAGATGTCTTGCACTCCACCTTTATGTTGTCTGAATTATTTTTGTGGACTGTCCAAACACAGATATGGGACTTATTATAACTTTTTGGATTTTTTTCTTTGCAAGTGTGCTGCAGGGATTGGGATGTGTGTGTACACAGTGCTTTGAGCATAAGAACGTGCTTATTAACATCAAAGGCACTTTCAGTTCGCTTAAAAATAACAGAGTAGATGTGTCATAAACTATCCTAGGTCAAGAATGTTAATTATGCTAGGTCTTTTTTTTTTTTAATGAGCAAGAGCACTATTTGGAAAATCGCTCCTCCTTACTCATACTCCTTTTCCTCTCTTTTTTTTCCCAGTGCATACTTCTTTAAATACAGAGACCAGCAGCCTTGAAGCTTCATGCTGGAAGTGTGTCAGTACATTGCACAGTGGTTTTACTTGTGAGAAGGAAGACATGTGGCTTTGTCTAATGAACGTTTTGTGTCAAACGATTATAAAAA